ATAAGTTCAAGGTTAAGTAGATGTTCTGACCACTAGAATGATTCTAACTAGCCAGTCTTGAGAGTTGAGGGGTTCAGACCCTGGCTTCTCACACTTTTCAGTGTGAAATTCTAGGGTTGAGGTATGGCATGAGTTGGACCCCTGGATTGGAGCTCCCATGGTCCTTATCAGTAGGTGATAGAAGGAAGGAGTCTCCAGTCTGTGGACAGGCTCATGCTGACCGAGTTCACACCACCATCTGTGGACACGCTCCCCCAGACCAGGTCCTCCCCTGCTAAGTCAGGGGCAAATCGACCACGGTGGGGAGAAGTAGGAGACGAAGAGAGTAAATAACTTCAAATATTTGAGTCTCCAAACTGTTTCTAAAAACTTGAAGAAACAACCTCAATGAAGATGTTATTTTCTGCGATGCTCAATCTGGGGATAAATCAAGAGTCATTATGTTTAGATAAAATTTTAGGCTCCTAAAGCCTAGAAAAGGCTGAGAAGAGGGCGGAGGGGCAGTCAGTTGATGGTAGCACATGTCAAAATCCAATCTCAAGATATTCTTGTTGAGCCAGCCTCAACAGATGGAATGAAAACAACCAAACAATGAATCTGTGTAAAGTCCCTTTTTCGAAGTCACAATATTGGTGGGAGTGTGAGGGCAGCTGTCTTAGTCTGTTCAGGCTACCATAACAGAATACCATAGACTGGGTAGCTGATAAACAACAGGAATTTATTTCTCACAGTTCTGGAGGCTGGGAAGTCCAAGATCAAGGCACCTGCAGATTCAGTGTCTGGTGAGAGCCCACTTCCTGGTTCGTAGACAGCCATCTTCTCAGTGTGTCCTCACATGGCAGTAGGGGCGGAGGACCTCTCTGGGGTCTCTTTTATAAAGGCACTAATCCCATTCATGAGGCACTAATACCCTCACGACCTAAGCACCTCCCAAAGTCCCCACCTCCTAGTACCATCACATTGAGGGTTAGGATATCACCCTATGAATTTTGGAGGAACACAAACATTCAGTCTCTAGCAGTGGCTAAGACCCAAACCAAGCCATCTAGCCCCTTTGATAGATCTAGGACCTGATGTCTAGCTTTTTAGTTTGTAGCTAGACTGATATATCAAAATGTCAGCCTAACTCCCCTGATTAAAGCATTTCAGGACTCTTATTTCCTGTAAAATAAAGCCTAAGCTCCTTAGCAAATGTTACTTAATCTAAACTCACTTGGGCAATTTTGTCTCCCACTGCTCCTGCCTCATGGTTTGAAGACTGAACGGAATGAGGTTTTTCCATGGCATGTCTTGCTGTTTCACACATGTTGTGCCTTTACCCTAAAACTTCTTCCTTTACTGCACATGGAAAGAAATGGTTAACTCATATTTCAAGACAAAATTTAAGTATCATACGTAGGAAGCCTTCATCTAATCCCCAAATTTGGGCTTGGAGTATCTCCTCTGACCACTCATACTTCTCAGTAGGCGTCTCTACCATAGCATTTGCCACATTAGTGAACTCATTTACTTTGCGTTGGTCTCCTTCTGAGCTCCTGAGTGTACACATGGGCAGAGTAGGAGCCTCATATGTGTTTATTAAGTAAATTAGGTGTTCCTTTGGGATTGTTTGGAGCCAGTTTGAAATAATTATTTCTTAACCTCTTCCTCCCACTAATTTTTATTTTCCTAGGGCCTTTCTTATTGTCTGTGCAGTTCTTTCCATGATCTAGATAATACTTCTATGACGTAAACCAAGGCTTGCTTATTAACCTATCAGAATGTTTCAGCCTACATGAGAAGATTGATGTACTATTTGAGCTGACCCTTCTTAATTGATTCTCCATACCCCCAAATCATTACCATGATTTTTTCTTTTATGAATAATGAATAGAACTTCCTCTGGAGAGCAAGATCTTCTGTTTTGTCCATCTTTCTCTTCCCCTACCTAAAACTGTGCTTAGCACATAGTAGGTGAATGGATGAATCCTGTTCATTTCCCTCTAGAACAATCTACCTGTTTTCTCCTGCCCCACTCTGTTCCCTAACACCTGGAGTTGGAAAGAACAGTTTTATCACTCCATAAAAATACCCAGTCTCACGATATCTTAAAAAGTTCTGTGGTCAGTGAGGTATTATATCTACAACCGTATGTATGAGCTCCCTGTCTAGATTGATGTGTAAGCCATTTTTTCCTTTGGAGAAAACTAGACTCTTGCACAAAAGTTGCAGCTTTTGCATTTGGCATAGAGCATGTAATAACTGTGAGGGTGTTTCGGACTGGTTAGTGAATGACGATTGTGTCAGTGACTAAGTAGATTTAATCCTGCCAGTGAGAAAGAAATTACTTTTTTCCTGGTGAATTAGTATTTGTCAGACCATTCAGTACTGTTGAATAAATTACTTTTATTAAAGCCCTAGAGTAGCTTATCCTAGAGGTAACAGCAGAGTTAATAGAATTGACTTAAATATATTAGACCTTTTTTCTTCCACTCCCTACTGATTTAAAACAATACAATGCTTTCATTCCGACACTTACCATTTTTGCTAATGCATATATTTTAGAAAGATTACTTTTAAAAGAAGTAATGATATCACGTCTGAATGTAAACTCTGATAGAGTAGCCATGTATGGGTATGCAAGTTATCCCTACACAACTCCAGAAGACCTTATTCCAATAGGCTGCAATGTAAATGGTGCCTCCTAGAGGTGTGCAGTGCAAAACTTGCCAGCCTTAATACCCTTTCCTCAAAAGGATAAATGGAGATAATTAGGTGTTCTTACTAACACAGATTGAAAATGAGCAAAAACAAAATGGTGTGGTCACTCAAACCTTCTAGAGAAATTTTAGTTTAAGGAAAACAACCTCTAAATGCTTCTTATTTTTATTTTTTTTAAGAAGTTAATTACCTAGTATTGTATGCATAATAGGAGATGCTGAAATTGAGACATGTACTCGGCCATACCCAAAGATGGAAAGGAGTAATTAACATCAACAATTCATCTTGCTGTAGGAATCTAAAACTGAAAAATTAACTTTCTAGTGAGTCCGTTGAAAATCTTTTGTATATTGATTGGTCATTAAAATGACTCTGGTGTTACCTATTAAACATGGAGGATTACTTGAGCTAATTCCCAATTAAACATAAAAGGTTACTTGAGGTAATTACTTGATAGCAAGGCCCAGTGTGGGAAGAAAGAGATTGATCCAGGTTTTAGTTATTATGTATATAAATCTATTATGTATATAAATCTATTATGTATATAAATCTATTATCTATTATGTATATAAATCTATGTCTGGATTTTATAGGAAGCAAAATATGTTGTTTGGTGAAACTGAAGGATTAGTTGCAATAATTAAGGGTAGGATGTTATTCCTAAATTTATAGCAAGCACATGATAAAGCAGAACTTTTAAATTATAGGTTTGGATGAAATGTGGAACAAAAGACCTGCATTGGCCTCTGTAACAACTGGCATCACAATGTGATAATTATGAACTACACTGGAGCCTTCACACCCTCGAGTGTAATTTAATGAATAGACTAACAAGGAGCAAGAAAGAAAGGGACTAACATTTACAAAGCCCTGTTTTGTGCTGCATACAGTGCTAGATATGTAACTATTACTGATTCCTTTAATTCTCATAATCACCCTGGAAAGTAGACACTGCCCTCCTATTTTTATATGCTGAATTTCTGCAGGATTATAAATGCTCATAATCACCCAGTTAGAGCACCCAAGTTAGTTCCGCCTCAAATATCACGCTGTTTCTACTATACTAGGGTGATGCTCAAATACAGCACAGTAGGGACACAAACTTAGGAATATTTATTGCTGTGGTTGATAATGACCTAAGATGAGGTACCTTACTTGATTTTAAAGATTTTATTTATTTATTTTTCCCCAAAGCCCCAGTACATAGTTGTCTGTCATAGCTGCACATCCTTCTAGTTGCTGTATGTGGGACGCGGCCTCAGCATGGCTGGAGGAGTGGTGCCTCGGTGCGCACCCGGGATCCGAACCCAGGCCGCTGGCAGCGGAGCGCACGCACTTAACCACTAAGCCACGGGGCCGGCCCCCCTTACTTGATTTTAAAGCTCTTCTGATACAGCTTAATAAAAAGATTTTTTTTTCATTTCTTCTTTGCTCAATTCACTTTAAGAAATGATTTCCAGAACTGCCTTGTATTTGCCGTGATGATCATCTGTATAAATGTCACAATTACTTAAAACACTCCAAAAATGTTCATGTGAGAGAGAAATGTTTAGCTTGGACAAACAGATATAGACATGGAAATTGAAAAATGTCAAAGTAGGATTTGATACCACTAACTAGAGAAGTTATATATATATATATATATATATATATATATATATAAAAATAAATAAATAATATTTATATATTATTTTTATATAAATTTATATAAATACATAAATAAATATATATATATATAAAATAATGGGGAGCCTGTTATACTTTTGCTTCAGTTAAAAAAATATTTCAATAAAGTTATACTTAGTGAATACTGTCCGTATTTCAAATTATGCAAAGACAATAGTAATCTGCACAATAAAGTAAAAATTGTTCAATTACATAGGCTGACTAATAACTTCCCTACATGGATTTTCAGACATTAAGTAATGGTGGTAAAACTAGTAGATACTATTCATTAAGCACTTCTTGTATGACAAACACTGTGATGCATTCCTTAAACATGGTCGAATTTAATCCTTACAACAAGTCTGTGAACTAGGCATTTTTGTCTCCACATTAAAGACAAGGGAGCTGAGCTTAATGCAATTGAGCAATTGCCCAGAGTTACATAGGTTAGACAGAAGTCTGATCTGGGCACTCAACCTATGTATATTGATGGCCAAAGCTCATGATTTTAACTACTTCTCTATGCTGTTTATAATTAGATATTATTTTAGATAACAGGATTTATTTTTATTTTTTAAATGAGTAGCTGGTATTTGGAAATTTCTTCCTATTGTTGTCATTTTTTTTCCTCACAGGGAACCAAAGTCCTGCAGATGTTCATGTGGTACCTGAATCCACGGCAAGTCTTTGATCTTTCTCAGGAAGGGCCAAAAGATGCGTAAGTCTGGAAATACCCTCCAGGGGCCATAATCTTTTAGGCAAATGAGAAGGACTTTGAAGTCACGCTTCATTATTTGATTACCTTGTGAAATATTTTCTGACCACCTCTCATCTATTTTCTCACTTGTGCTCTCTTCCCTTTAAAACTTCATCTGATGTTTCCCCTCCTACTCTTCATTGGGTTAATTCTCTTCAGACCATCTCGTCAGTTGTTAACTCAGGGAATACTTCTAGTGTGTTTACTGCTTATATACATGCAACTGTGGATTATTAACAAGTCTGTGAATTGGGAAAGGATCCGTCATTTTTCTATTTATGCATGTACAACCTTGGAGATGTACATTAATGGAAATGTAAGTGTATCTTTGTGGAGAGTGGTCATATTTGTTCATGAATATGTTCATGATTTGAATTCAAGGCTGTGTGTGTGTGCATCTTTGTCCGTTTGAGAGAGAGATTGAGTGATTAATTGATGGTACCTGTGGATTCTACATCAGAGTCAGGGAGACATTTTAATTCCTGCTCAAGCCATTTTCTGGCATTCTCAGAAATTTCATACTCTGTTTTTGTTAGAAGCATTGAAAATAAAGTCTACATGTAGGTGACGTGTATCCTGTATCTTCCTTTTGGTACATGGTGGGAAAGAGCAGGAATGTTTCTTCTGTTGTCTGATTCTCTTCTTAAAACCCATCTATTAAGAATATTTCGATGTCACCTGATAAACATTAGAACTTAAAGGATACCAGTTACTGGTATTTTTTTTATAAGTAACAGTTTCAAAGGTAAAGAAACATCAGCTCAGATGACTTCTAGAGAAGTAATATTCCTGTGTGAAATGGATAAATTACATATGTTAAGCATACAGGAGAACATTAAATGTGAAAATTAATTTCTGCCATTATTCCCTTAATCTATGAACTTCTTGACCACCAGAGTTTGCTTTCAGACTTCTATATTTTCTTCTGTATTTGGATGTACTAATGCAAATCTGCTACCGTGGCTTTTGACCTTTTAGATGCTTACCTTTCTTAAGATTTTATCACTTTAGTTAGACTTTAGGTAGACACTTCATAGAGCACCATAAAGACGTGACAGGACAGGAAATATTTCCAGAAAAAATGTTATTTTCTGTAAATAGGTGATGTTTTCTAGAACAGAACTATTAACAGCTTCACTTAAGCAAAGATTTTAGCAGGGGTGATATCACTGCATTTTCTTGAGAGCCATTATGAAAGATAAAATGATCTAATTTCAGGCAGTCAAATTCAAAATAAAGAAAAACCAGTAAGTCTTCCCTCTTCAGGCTGAGGAGTATAAATGGGGGTTTGAGTGTTAGTGAGTTGAGAGAGAGAGATGGAATTGTGGGTGTGGTAGTAACAATGCTAGTAGGATATCCTCCCCCGTCTCTCTGAAAAAAGTTTCCTGGGATTAAGAGTGGGAAGTATAGATCTGAGAAATAGATCCAGAAAAAGCTAATAAAATAGGAGAAGACATATAAGACTATTGATTGCCGATTAATGATGATTTGTTTTTGAGAAAGGAGGGAGGAGAATGATGGGAAAAGAAAAAGAAGGAAGTCACAACTAATGAGGAAAATAATGTGAGCTGACACCTTAATAGGAATTATGGGAAATAAAACTCTAGGACATCCTAAAATCCTGTTCCAACGTTGGCCATTTAAAGATGATGTTTGCTGCCAACCTCTGCTCCACTTGTTGGAGTCAATCCTCTTGTGATTACTTGGTAACTAGTTTTGATGGCATCATCCTCCTGATTATACATTTTCTGCAGTGCCCCCACCACCACTTTTTGCCCTGCTGTTTTCTCTCTGCTAGGTATGACCAGTGCTTTTTTGTTTACTTTTTCTTCTATTTCCTCTACAGGCTTGAGTTGTATAGGAAAGTACCAAATCTGCGGATTCTGGCCTGTGGTGGGGATGGAACGGTAGGTCCTCAAAATAGAATCCAGCTTTCTCCCTGATTTCTTCCATCTTTCTGTTGTTTTCCTTATGACAATTCTCTTTCTTCATTCCCACCTCACAGTCTTTCCAATCCCCTAAAAAACACATGTATCTCTCCTGTGAATCCCAGCCTTTCAGGGTTAGGAGGGACTTTGTTACTATCCTCATGGATTTGTACTTGATTTTTCTAAATTATGTTTCATTCCCTCAACTGTACTATATTCTTTCCTGTTCCACAAGGTAAGGATGTGGTCAGATCATTAGAATGAAGATTACAGATGACTAAAATTCTTTTAAAAATACAAACTGACTTATTTCCATTTGTTCTTAATAAATGGTCACAATTATTTAGGAGAAGTATATGGACACAATTGAATTCTTGCATTTTTTTTTTACTAGTGGAAATAAAATTTAGAATATTGACTCACATTGCTTTGTCTTAAAGATCATTGATTGTTCTCATTTGTATTCATTTTTGAGGAAAAGATGGAATTGGGCTGAAGTTTAATATCACAGGTCTATTTTTCTGTTTCTCTTGTCTATTTCTCCATTTGCCCTCTACTTAATATTGACATATTTAGCAAAGGCAGAGTTGAGAATCATAACATTAAGATTCTGCTGTCCACTGTCTTTTTCTTCTGTATCCAGAGTCTGCTCTCATAGGACCTAGGATTTTATTATGAACTATTTTTGGCTTTTCCTTACTCTCCCTAATTAGAATGTTTTATTCTCAAAGGTAGCAACGAAATCTTCTAATTTTATCTCTCATAGCACATGAGCACTTAATGCAGCATTGGATACACATTAAATACTAATAAATGCAACTGAAAAAAATAGAACAGTGATTCTACTGGTCCCTTAAGATATTCTGTGGAGAGGAAAACATTTTTTCAGTTGAGAAAGTAGTGGTTACTATTCTTTGAGATTCACAATACACATTATTAGCTTATAAAATTCATTATAAAGTCTTACAGCAAAGAAGCCAAACGTGTTTCACTTTGTTTAACCCAAGTTTTCCAAAATTATTTGACCATGGAATTTTTTTCCCCCACAATACTAATTAAATTTCAATCAATTGTAGTGTTCTAGGGAGATGTATTTAGGGATATGCTAATGTGGAGTTTTTCCAACTTCTTTAATAAGAATTACATCCAAACAGATTCTCTGGTGATGGAGATACACACAACACACAACATACACACACGCAGTCTCGCACTGTGTTCTTCCTAGCTCAGTCATCCCCCTAGGCTATTTATCTTTAATAAAATGATCAACTCATTGTGACCCTTTATTACAGTTATCTTCCTTATTTTAGAATCTACTTGTCTTTCCATACGACTTCAACATCCCACTCACATCTTTTTTCCTTCTCTAAAACTTGGTGACAGCAGCAGACAAGTTGAGGATATGCCTGGTGTCCTGAATCCATAGTTCTTCCTCTTTCTTAACTTAAGTGACAATGACCTCAAATCTACATCTGCACATCTTGGGCTTCATCTTCGATTGGGTGTTCCACCTTCCAGACTTCCCCATTATCCGGTGAAGCTTCCATCACCTCTCTCTCTCCCCCACTGCTGTCTTCTCCCTTTCCTCTACTCAGCACATGTGTGTAGGAAGTACTATTCTAGGTTATGTGGTATTGAGGCATTCTCTGCAATTAGATAAGTATTGGAAAATATGGGATTTCAAAGCATAAAGGACAACAAGAGAAGACAGCCAAGCCCAGACACTTGTGAAACACCTATAGTTATAGAGTCTGAGCCAAAATTCAAAAGGAAAATGAAAAGATAGCAGTAGAAGGACAATCAGTAGTCTATTCTGTAGAGAAAACAAACCAAAAAAGGAGTTTCCAGAAAGTGGCAATGGTTATATCTGTAAGGAGAGACTGAATAATTGCTATTGAATTTGGAGACTAGGAAGTAACTGGTGGTTTCCAAGAAAACAGTTTCGATAGAGTGTCTGGAACAAAACCAGAATGATGAGAGAGACTTGGTACATCCCTAATGACTCGTAATGACCAGATCCAGTTACAGCGTTGAGTGTCTGTGAATACACTCTGGTGCCATTAATATCAGCCTTCTTGACACACAGACTACCTGCTTTTCCTACGTTTTATATCCTGTCTTTTCTAGCATCTCTTCTTTAAATATACCATAATTAATGGGTATTCCACAAGGCTAAATATAACTGTTCTTTTATATTCTAGGTACTTTTTCCCCTTAGGGACCTTAACTATGTTCCTAACTTCAGTTTTCACATCCTTCCTCATAACTCACAAATGCACTAGACATTCACACTTGGGTCCCCTGCCAACAGGTGTGTCTAAAATGAAAGTAGTGTATTTACCCTGGAATTGGTGCATACTTTTGAGCTATTTATTTTTGACAATAGTAGTCTTTATAGTCCCATCGCTCAGAATCAAAACTTTGCTTATCTTGTACCTTATGTAAAACCAAGTTTTATTTTATTTTACCTTGTTAAAACAAGGTGTTTTGTGAAAGATATATGGGGTTTATGAAATGTTTATCAAGGTCTGTGATTGATATTTTAAATTTTATCAGTTTAGAATATGAAACTTTTAATTTTGAGTGAGGGCAGTGTAAGAAGAAGCATCCTGATGGATTCATGAAGAAAAACTGCTGGCTTTAGACAAGTGAAGTATAGAGTGTCTCTTGAAAGTGTCAGGTGTATATTTGACATAAGGTATTCAGCCCTTAGTTTGGGAGCATATCTATCACTGTAGAGGCTGTCAGAATTCTGTCAGTATAGTGGCAAGGTTAAGGAGGAATCTGAATGGAATATTTTGACTGATTAGCATGAGGATATATTAACCCTTAACCATATTAGTTTAAGTGTCCAAAGTATTATTTAATATATAGATATCTTGCATTAATTTGGAAAAAAGTTCTTAGGCTTCGATATTAGTTACTTTAATTTTCTGTTATTAAAAAATACAAGGAGGCAGAGTGATGGATCTCCCAGTATTGAACTTGGAGGTGAAAGAAGTGGTTCTGCCATGATTTCTGTGACCTTTGTCAGGTTCCTTAGCCTCTTCCAGGACAATCGAAATTGGCAAAGGGATACCTTTGGATGTCTAAGGGTCTTTACAGCTGCAGCATTATAATAGTATAAACCATTGCTATCCAAGAGAACTATAATGCAAGCCACATTTTCAATTTTAAGTTTTCTAGAAGACACTTAAAAAAAAAGCAGTTGAAATTAATTTTATAGTATATTTTATTTAACCCAATATATCTAAAATATTATCATTTCAACATACAGTCAATATGAAAATCATTAATGAGACACTTTGTGTTTGATTTGTACTGTCTTTGCAATCCGGTATACGTTTTTGTGCTTATAGTCCTCCAATTTGGATTAGCCACATTTCATCAGCAGGTCCACCTATAACCATGTGAATGTCTTTTCAAAGGCCCGGAGTTAAATTAACATTAGCTGCCCAATTCACACTTATTTCGTGTTCAGTTGGCTTCCCTAGATGAGGATACACCCTAAACAGTAGGCATCCCCATGCCCTGCCTTATTACAGCCACAGCAGGGAAGGAAGTAGTATTTTCCTTTAATTGACAGAGCCAAGCAGATCATTCCAAGCCCCTCTTCTCCCTCAGCCTACGTGTATCCCATCCTCTCTCTAGAGGAAGTGCTTGGTACACCCTCAGTAGCGGTCATTGTGAATGATTGAATGGATATCCTAAATCTGCATTCTATTTCAAAAAGCTCAGACCTTTTCTTTTATCTTGATTTCCTTAGGGCTGGTTTTAAACATTTCTTTTAACACACATCATCCTGTAAACTCTAAAGTGCAAATAAAAATTAAAATGTCAAAGAGAAGATCATAGTGTACGTGTTAGAAAGGGACACCCAGGCATCAAATCCTGCATCTTGATTATCCTTCAGAGTTCAGAAATGTTGCCCTTGTTTTCCTTTGATTTCTCAGTATGAATGTCCTTCACATTTTGCCTGCATATAAGGAAATACACCATGTGTCTGCTCTGTTCAAAGAAAGTTTCAATTCACTGTCCTTTCCACCCCTCAGCTGCCTCTAATGTTAGTATATTGCAGAATGGAAACATTGCTCAAAAGGCTCTTGGGAAACACGCAGTGGGAGCTGACGCTGCACATGGACAGGTGGTGGCAGCATTGGCCAGCTGCTGCGGCGGCTGCTGCAGCCGCGTGGCTGTACTGCTTGGGGCAAAGCCTGGGACCTGGTGTTCTGGATCTGTCAGCCCTGCTTTCCCTAACACGAAGGCAAGAAAGAACCCTGCAAACTGGAAAATGATTTTGCCCAATCTGGATAGCTTTCTTTAGTTGTGGTGGAAAATATGCCAAGTGCTGTGTGTTGCAACTAATTAAGCAATGTAATTGAAGGGGTGCTGGATGAGCTGGTTGTTTCAGTCATTTGGAAATTATTTGCGTTTCACGGACAGTGAATTAATCCCCTAACTTTCCTGTCCATCTTAGTATCAGCATTCTTCATGTGATTTAGAATTTTTCTTTGCAGGCTCATCTTCAGAGGAAGTTGTTGTGTTTGATTTTTCCCTTTTCTTTCTCTGCATCACTTCACTATCCCTTTCCAGTAGTTTGAAGGGTTTCCAGGACTCTGAGACTAGAGTCAGGTTTTCTATAGGTGGCTCAGGCTCCCGTCCAGAGATGTCAGGGGTGTTTCAGGTATGTCAGTGAACTACTGGGAACTTGGGACCACGTATTAGAGAGAGGCTTTCTCAGGATCCTTCAGCCATAACTGTTCTCAGCTTTCTATTGGCCATGGTCTCAGGCTGGGGTTCTTCCCTCTTTTCTCCTGACGGGGAAGGAACCTGGCTCCAGCACAGCCTCCTGCCAGCAGGGGGCGAACTTTTACTCCCCATCATCAGACAGAGGCCACAGTCCTGACTTCCTCGGCTTGCCGGTTTGTGTTTTGTTTCTTTCTGGTCCATGAAGATTTTTTTTTTCCTGTTATGATTGTGTCTAGAGGAAAATAGCGTGTTGAAAGTGTAAACTCATAGCATTATCTTTACCAAGAACAGAGAGACGTGTTAACTAAGCATAAGAAAAAAATTTCTAATTTAAATCTACCTAAAAGAAATGGACTGACTTGTGAGTACAAACCATAGAGGGGAGGCTGAATGATCATCTCTCAGGACTGCCTTCTTTTCCCTGTGTGGATGTTGAATTAGATTTCCACTAAGTTCCATTGCATTTCTGAGAGTGTCTGGTTCTGCTCAGGGCTGTTTGCATCTGCTGACAGTGATCCCTGATTATCGGGCTTTCTGAGTGTTTACGTCTCTTTTAATGACCTTTAAACCCCCTTCTTGTAGTTTAGTAGGAGCATCTCTACTTTTACTGTGTTTAGTTTGTGCTTTTAACAGCACAGGAACAATATGTAGCACAATCATCAGAGCTATTTTAGCATCTGGCATTTTTTATTTTCTTCAATAGCAAGCTTTGTTAGTATTGTGTGTAAAAGAAGAGCTAAAGAAGCATTGGGTCCAAATCTAAGGAGTTGTCTAGGAGTAAATTGCCCAGTTTGGGGAAATGGAGGGACTTTTTGACACTTTTATTGCTCTGGATTTTTAGTTGAACACGTTGGGTGAACATTGTGCTATGCCTTTCTGGAAGGGAAACACGATTTTAAACTTCTTGATGGATGGGCAAGTTTTCCATCCTGGGAAGTAATCATTGTGGAGGAGAAAGGGTTTTAGATGGGAATCAAGAGACCTCATATGACTCTGACTCTGCTACTTCTAACTATTTAAGTCTTGAGCCAATGGCATGATCTCTCTGCACCTGTTAATAAATCTGCAAATTAACTGAATTTGACTAAGCAATTTCTAAGGTTTCTCCAGCACTCCAAAGATTCCAAAAGTTCATGCCACTGTCTCCAGGATGGTCAGGCCATATCCAGAACTGGGTTTAGTTTTTTATTTTAAGGCTCCCTGCACCAAAGTGATTAGGAGGTTGGCCTTTGGTGCTTGGCATACCTAATTTTGAATGCCAGCTCTACCACAAAACCATTTGATACTAAGGAGGTCGTTGAACCTCCTTCCAAGTCTTGGTTTCCTTATCGTAAAATGGAGATGAAGGGGCTGACCCGGTGGTGTAGTGTTTAGGTTCACACGCTCCGCTTCAGCAGCCTGGGGTTCACAGGTTCAATCCCTGGCGTGGACCTATACACTGCTCATCAGACCATGCTGTGGCGGCATCCCACATACAAAATAGAGGAAGATTGGTGGAGATGTTAGCTCAGGGATCATCTTCCTCAGCAAAAAGAGGAAGACTGGCAATGGATGTTAGCTCAGGACCAATCTTCCTCACCAAAAAAAAGAATATATATGGAGATGAAAATTATATCTATCTTATAGAGTTCTTTTAAAGTTTAATAAGGTAATTCATTAGAGAACTTTGCTCAGGGACTAGCACATAGAAAGCAATCAGTATGTCACTCTTTTTGTTGTTGTAAACTCCTTGAGGGCAGGCGTTATACCTTACCTGTCTTAACCTAGCTCATTTATCTTTTTATTTCAATTGCTTAGTTCTGTGTTTTATATATAGTAGTGTTTAATAAATGTACTGTTAATGTATAATTTTCAAATTTGAAAAAATGACTCTCATACACGTCTAGAATGAATACATGTCAAAAAATTTATTTAGCTCTTTAATGAAGGAATCAGCAACATAATAAAGCTGATTTATTGGAGAAGTAGAGGAAAAGGATTATGTACATTATACCAAAATAATTTTTCTAAATTCGAGACAAAATTGGTTAATGAGCTATGTGGGAATAAAGCCATAACCTTTTAAAGTAATGTTCTCTTCTCAACATCTGTATTTCTACAGGACAGAAATCTTTGTTAACCTACAGTTGTAAAGTTCTTAGATAGGCCTGTGAAACACTAATATGACATTGTAAGGATATGCACATTTCTTTTTGCTATTTCCAAGTTTGGGGTAATTTTTCTAAATAGTCATAATAAGACTAAACCCAAAGTATTGTTTATCTTAGGCAGAAAAAGATTAAACAAGAGTGTGGTTCTACTATTTAAGTATCTATTTATTGTCTAAACTTGTAATAAGCCCTAGGTCCATCCATAATTATGTTTTCATAATGTTTCATTAAGAGAAATGTAGGGATATTTAGGAAAACACTACTAATTTCTAAGATGGTACCATGGAGGGTAACCATTTAACGAGTGCTTACACGGGCCAGGCACCAGATTAAGGGCTTTATATATATTTTAATCTGTAAACAATCTTGTGAGGTAAGTATTATTATCTCCACTTTGAAAATCAGGCAAATGAGTCTCTGAGGTTAAATAATTTAATTAAGATTAGGCAGACAGTATGAGCCAGAATTGAAATTCAGTCTGAGTCTTGTATTCCTTCCAGTGTCCTACGTTATATACCTCCCTAAATTTTAAACCCTTCTAAATTTTAAAGTAGATCTCTAGTTAAACAGATTAAAGGGTCCAGTTTTGCTTGTATGATAGTTTGTACAAAATGGTCCTTTTCCCAATAAGAGACTTCTTATTCATCTTGAAACCACCTGAGATAAGTGGTCTTCTTGTTCCCTGGCCCCTGGATTAAAACATGTTTTGAAGAAAAACAAAACCATTTCATTTAGCTCTTTAAAGCCACCTCCTCTCAAGTTGTCTTCTTTGTAACTTACCTCTCTTGCTTATATCTCTCCTGGCCCCCAATATGTCTGTAGGTGGGCTGGATCCTTTCTATCCTGGATGAACTGCAGCTGAGCCCTCAGCCTCCTGTCGGGGTCCTTCCTCTGGGCACTGGGAATGACCTGGCTCGAACTCTCAACTGGGGAGGGGTAAGAACTGCTCTCAGGGGCTGCCCATGTTATCAAGCAACGGGGTCCCCAAATCCACAGATGTTCTAATGGAAGAGGAGGATGCTGCTGCTGTCCCTGGAATGACTTAGAGATGAGAATCAGTGTGCCCATGAACCATGATTTTATCTGGTAGTTTCTTCAGTTTAAACTTATAGTCATTTAGAGGGGAGGGGAAAGTTGGGTATTAAAAAAATGGTGGCTAGTACACAGGCCTGAGGATTTTTGAGGTATCCATTAAAAGACAGTGGGGGGGTTGGCCTCAAGTCTTCATGTAAAACAGTCACAAGGACTTAAGTTGATCCTGACCCTCTGCACTCTCCAGGGTAGTAAATCTGGTCAGATCTACAACCCTTACTTTGGGAGAGTTATACCTTTATTGAGCATTTCATTTTTCTGGTCGTTGTCATCATGGTTTTGGCTCTGTAGGCAGCGGACTGTCCTTTCCACCATGGAACCAACTTCAGGCAAGCTTAGTGGAAGCAGTTACCTGTCACTAACCAGCCATTTCATTTATTCATTTTTTGTACTACTAATATAGTAAGAAGGCACAATATGCTAACATATACAGTCCCACCAGCTTTTTATGGACTCATATGAGACCATCACCTGGTCTGGGCACCATGAAAATTTCTTTGGATGTTAGCAAATATTAATCTGGCCTTTGGGTGAGTGAACTTCCCATAGGCTAAAATTATCTTCAGATGTTAGCAGATATTAATTTGGCCTTGGGTGAACAAATTAATCTCTCCTATGTCAAGTAGGCAGAGTATACATAATAAAAATATTTCCATGAAGCAACGAATGTGTTATGAGTGTTAACTCCTCTTATCCAAATCAATGACTTCACTATTGTTAACAATCATGCTATTTGGTAATGTCTGCTCAGGGAGTAAGTAGCTCCCTTACAGGGCTGTTCCTCAGTCAGTCACACTTGCCTTAGGTCATGGCAGGAATGGTATCCTACTACAAAGTTAGGGAGAGGTGAGAGAAATGAAATGTTAATAGAAGAAATTGTCTGTCAGATGTCACCTTTATTCTTTTCCCCCTTTCCACACACACTTGTTGTGTATATTCTCCAAGTTCCTCTAGTAGGAGGGCTGAGGAGTCCTGTTTTTACTCTGATAAAAGCAGCCATCCATTGGGGGCATGGCCCCCAATGCCTACCAGTAACTATTGATTCTTGGTGCCAGCAAAAATTCTTCTTCAGCTCAAACCAGCTAGAGTTAACATTTCTGTGCACATTTCCTGTGACTATTGTCTTAAATTCTAAGTACCTCGAAGGAAATAGTTTACTCTCCCAGCCTTGCTAATTGCAAAATAAAGAGGTATAGCAGAAAGGCTCTTCCTTGCATGAAATAGTTTTTGCTACACTCTTCACTACTCTAGATGGCAATGGGTGTGTTTTTTGATTCCTTAGGGCTACACTGATGAACCAGTTTCTAAGATCCTTTGCCAAGTAGAAGATGGGACAATCGTACAGCTAGATCGCTGGAATCTGCATGTGGAAAGAAACCCAGACTTGCCTCCAGAAGAACTTGAAGATGGTGTATGTAAGGTTAGAGAGTTCTTTCTTCAGCAGAAAGGAACCATGGAGCATCTGTCTGAGTCACAAGAAATACATTTCTGGCTCAAGAGTCGTGTGCTCATTCCTTCCTATGAGATAACAGGATAGTGGTTGAGTTTACAGCTAATAGGACTATGAGTATAACACTACCCAATGATCTGCCCCATAGACTTCTCAAGACCTAGATTTCCTAATTGCTTCCAGAGCTCAGGGAGCTGTTCTCTGTTCTCACATTCCATACCAGGAAGACATGTATCCATTTTCTAATCTTTCGTATTCATAACCTATGAGAAGATGAAAAATATATATGTTTGGAAGCATTAGGCACATGGTCTTTCAATAGAAAGATAACCTCCTGAAATTTCTGGTCTGATATCAAATATCCCTTATGTTTAGGAAGTATTAACTAAGCCAATTTTATCACTTGGTTGGGACTTGAAGACACCTAAATAAATGTTTTGACTTAATGTTTTCTCTTTGGTGATTGAGCTTTTATTTCAACCCAAACCAAAACAATCCAAGGGACATAGTTATAAATATGCTACTGTAGAGCTTCAGTGGAATGTTTTGTTCTATGTTCTGGTCTCAATTTCAGATAAATTTGATAAGTTGCTGAGTAGCCACTTCCTCCATATTATTTTCCACTTTTCTTCTGTGATATTGTTTTCAAACTTTTGTATGTGCAGGTATCTCCAGGTATACCTGTTAAAAATGCAGATTATGGGGGCCGGCCTGGTGGCGCAAGCAGTTAAGTGCGCACGCTCCGCTGCGGCAGCCTGGGGTTCACCAGTTCGGATCCTGGGCGTGCACCGATGCACCGCTTGCTGAACCATGCTGTGGCGGCATCCCATATAAAGTAGAGGAAGATGGGCATGGATGTTAGCTCAGGGCCAATCTTCCTCAGCAAAATGAGGAGGATTGGCATCAGATGTTAGCTCAGGGCTGATCTTCCTCGCAAAGAAAAAAAAAAAATGCAGATTATGAGGCTCAGTCCCCAGAGATTCTGATTAAGTAAATGCAGGATTAAGGCCCAGGCATCTGTACTTTAAACAGCATCCCTTTTCTATTGGATTATGCCATTAATTGAGGCTGAGATTTCCTGGATGTTTCAGCCTTAAAACCTGATATCATTTTAGACCAAACCAGTGCCCATTAGTTCATTAGCATCCTGATCCTGACCAATTGTGATAGATGCTCAAGTTTCTTATTTGGCTAAAATAGGTTAAAACGTGTTTTGTCTTGTCTTCATAGTTTTTGCACCTAAATCATGATCCAGAAACTGTAAGGTTTTTAGTTGATATCATGATTGCTCAGTTGAGCTTGAGTTCATAATGTCATGATGTTGTTTAAACAAGTATCATCTTAGAATATGATGTTTCTTTCTAAAAATGTATTTGACTTAGAGAAATTGCATAGAAAACTGCCAAAGTATTAAAGAAGTGTGTCATATGGAAATTTTAATGTTCTTTCCCCACTTCACTTGGAATGGTTAAACCCTCAATAGCAATCTATATTCTCTTCTCAGCAGCTTAAGAAATGGAAAGACTTCTTGATGCAGCCAGGGAACATTAATCTGGATAATTAAAGGGCATTGAAAATGGATTTTTGAGGGTATGTGTAGGAAATTGGGGCAACTTTTCCTGGAAAATATGAATAAGAACATACTAACAGACTAAATTGGGATATTATTTAGGGAATGTTGACCAGATGTTCTCCTAAGTTATCAGTGGATGCTAAGACATGGATTAGAATTGTAGCCAAAAGAACATAAATGGTAGGGATGAACATATCTGTACTTTTGGCAGGATCACCAACCCTTTACTAAGGACTGGTATTTTGTTTAAGTGCAGAAACTGGACATTCTCAAATATAAAGCCAGGAAAGTGAGACATGATTTTGGCATTGTCCATGTGTTTGGTTTTCCTCTCTGTTCTCCAGTCAGTTGTAACCATTTCGAAGGGCTAATTTGACTTCTGAATCATTATAAGCTCTGATTCAGGGCCTTCCCTGAGGAGAGGGGGTCATTCTCTATTTCCATTAGAGACCAAGGCAATCCAATTTCTTTCTGTATAATATCTCTCTTGTTCTATCTCTTACTCTCCCTCTCGTTTTATTTTTCTCTTAATGGGACCAGGTTCTCACTGTAGTTGAACAGAAAATCTTACTGACCTAGGGGCATATGAAACACTGTAATAAACTTAGTTTTGACATCTTGAGGGTTAAACACTTATCTCTAATAGAAGAGAAGTGCATTTCTATCTGGAGGATAAACCTGATACTTATCTGGAAACGTTATCCAAGCTGAGATAAAACTACCTCTCTATTTACTTTAACATTTATCTTCCATTCTGAGTTGCAGAAGGAAAAGTGAAAGAATCACCATTTCCCTTCTAGCATTTGCCACATGCTTTTCTAATTGTTCTAACATTGAACAGAAGCCTTAAGATCACATCAATTTTGCAGTTTTAGTGCAGGACTTTAGGCTGCGTAGTTTGTTCTCCCCTTTACTCAGCTTGCAGCAGTAACAGCCAGGGACCCGGAGGACTCTGGGAAGGAGAGCTAAGGCTCGTGCGAGGGTCTGTGTGTCTGTGTTTGCGTATTTCATGGCCATATTAAAGATACAAGGTTTGATAGACTAAATAGGAATCCGAATACTGGTAAATATATATATTTTTTCCTTTTTCCAAAATATATATATTTTTTGAAAATAAGTGAAGGGTAAACAAATTAAATATTATTCATTTTAAGTTGCAATATCAATACACTGAACAGAAATTCTTGAAAAAAGAGTATCCACTGATTAAGTAGGTTAGACAAATCCTTACAGTTGAATTTACTTTCTCAGTTTGCTTCATAAATCATTCTTTGCAACTATTGCAAATGTGCATCCCTTAGTTTAATCAGGTTCCCTTATTATAACATGCGCAAGAATGGTTCTCATTTAATAATTTGTCTTTGCATCCCTTGTTCCCTATACTGTTTAAAATTCTTGGGAGTATGATTTGAGTTGAGCTTTCACTAATGAATTAATTAAAAACTCCCGTGTTCCTTCTGTGTACACACCCTCCACCTTGAGTCGTGGCTGAGCTTTCTCCTGGAGACTGACCCTGAGACACGTTATATTTTTCTCTTTCTACCTGGTTACACACAACTTTACCTCTGCCTTTGTTCATCATTGCAGCTTCCTCTGAATGTTTTCAATAATTACTTCAGCCTTGGATTTGACGCCCACGTCACACTGGAGTTCCATGAATCCAGAGGTGAGGACAACGTCCCATTTCCATCTCCCCGGGGAGGAAGTTTCCAGCAGGTGTTTTGCATGTTCCCTTTTGTTTGCATATCACTTCCGTGTTGACAGTGTCTTCGGTGTTGTTTCAGTATAACCTACAGGATGACCCTGGGAGCTAGACAAGATAGGAACTTATTGCAAATGGTAGCCTGAGACCTAGTTGTTTAGGGTCTCAAAGACGGTAAAGGACAGGACCAGATATATGCTCCAGGTCTCGGGACTGCTAATCTTCACGTTTGACTAGAAGCTTTGAAGTTAGTGAACCACTAAGTGATAAAGAGAGATTCTTTCACTAAAGTCATTAGGATACTCACAGCTTCTCAAATCACCAATTAATAAAGTCCAACACTTCATAACCAGGGCCATTGAAATCTGGTAGCAAAAACATAAAAGTCCTCACTGTGTGCATAAAAGAGACATCTGAGAACAATAGGTGGCAATAGGTGGTTTAGATTGAAAGAAAAGGGTATAATGGTGGTTGGGTTAGGTGTGGAAGGTGCTGGGAATCCCACTGGATGAGATAGGTGTGAATGAGGCCGAGTGGTAATTTCAAATATTAAAGAGATGGAGTCAAGATTGGGGGAGCAAAACAATTTTTGAAAGAGAAATAAGATGAAATAATGACATATGGTTAAATATTTCATCAAAATTTTCTTATGCCATTCAGAGCTGAGAAAGTTTAGGCTTTTGGCTTATGTTTCGAAGCCTCAATCTCTCCCTCTCTTGGTCTCTCTTAATCTGTCTTATTCTCTCTCTTAAACTCTCTTCTTATTAATATAACTATACTATACATCTATGTCTATGCCTGTATCTATAACTATATCTGTACCTAGTCCCTTGTGAATATGTTAATATATAACCAAAATAATGCTAGGCTCTAGGTTAGTAAGTAATTTGTGAGATAAAGTCATAAATGAGGGATTATTTTACTTCTTTTCCTCTGGATTCTGCAAGAGCATGTGTGGTTTTAACTCATAGAATTCAAAATACAGAGTGGTAAAAGCTAGAATTCACATGTTCAGATTCCAGTAATAATGTAGAGAAAATTCTGATAACACTTTTATGTACTAAAGGTCAAGAGTGGAGCTCTAGGATTGAAGCTGTTAGAATACAGAATAAAAGTGAAGTACAAACCTGTAATTCTCTTACTGAATTCGGCGATTTTGGTAGACTTTGCCTTCCTGGTTTCATGGCCTTTGAGGGTCAAATGCTGTGCCAAATAAAAGCGATACTGATTGAAAAGAGAGCCATAGTTTGGCCTGATTAGCCAGAAAATCACAGATGGAAAGGTTGGTTGACAGCAGAACTACAAGTACCAAATACCCAAATCAGAAACACCACCACGCTCCCCTCCTTCCTGCCATAGACAGTTCTTAGATATTAGATATTCAGAGGGTCCTGCATTAGGGCTGACGTTTGTAATCTGTTGCCCTTCCTATGTTTAAGGAGAGTTAATTTGGGGAAGTAAATGGAGATTTCTTTCTCCATTTCTTACCCCATTTTTTTCCTCGTATTCATCAGGAGACTCTGGATCTGGGCTTCCTGATAAAATCTTTAAGTTTCTTAACAATACTTGTAAAGTGATACAATTATCACTAATGCATGAATCTCCCAAAATAGACACCCTGGCATGAAAAGAGGCCTAAATGAGTAAGTGGCCGACAATGAGCTCTTTCAAGGAAGCCTAATGTTTTGTCTAATTAATCTGAAAGGGACCCTAATGATACATTTCCTTGTACTAGGATGAAACTTCTGTGCCTCACAGTGAGGGATGAGCAGAGAGAGACATCAAGGTGGAAAGACCAGGTTTAGAAGGGAATTCTTGAGGGAAAGTGATTTTTTCTTTTATTTTAAGCTATGAGACCATTTCATTTTAGAGAAGAATATGCAGACTGTGGTGTATGTGTATATTTACATGGTTTTATACCTGCGTGATTATAAAACCATTGGTTAAAAGATGCCAAGCATTAATCTTTGAGTAATTTATTGCTGAGGCTTAGTATAAGTGCTTTCATGCAATATAAAATGGAATTGCAGACATTTGCCCTGCAGGTAAACCAGAGCCCTTGAGGAAAACCAGCTCCTGAAGAGCTGATAAGGGAGAATTGATGTCGACTGAGAATAATAGCTACAGTATTCATGAAAACGGTGTAGAGATGCTACAAAATAAATATCCAGAAAATATTGGAACCAGATTGTTGATATGCCTAGACCATAGGTGTGGACTTCTTAGTATGTGTTTATCTATTCTTTCTGCGTTAAATAAAAATCATTATTTATGATGAAAATTATAATCACTCAAGCTAATATCTTTTTTTTTTTTTTTACTGTTTTCTGTTTATTTGGATTTTCCTCAATTTTTGCCCAGATAGTCAAGAAATCCCAAGCTCACCTGCAGAAGGAAAAGAAAGATAGCAAAGCCACTTTTTCATTAGGGGTGGACTTACTTATTTTTGTTAGTAGATAGTGAGTGCCTGTAATCAAGCCAAGAACACTCATAGTTGAGACTTCAAACTCAAACACAGCCACTCATAGTTTGAGACTTCATGACAAAACTTGTATCATTTGCCATAAAATACTTGGAGGGTGACTCAAAGCCTCATGAGAGCCACTATAAAAAAATGAGTTTGGATAGAATTACCTATTAGATATCAGTAAAAAAAAAATATAGTACCTTAAATTAGTAATTATGTGAGCCCATCTACATGAAATGGGTAATAAATACAACTCTCACTAAGGCAGAATCTTTAAAAATTACGAAAACAGTTTGTGACATAGATGTGAAATGTCGCATTTCAATTTGATTGGCTAAATGCAGATTCTTGCATTACTGCCTATATTGTAGTTCTTTTAGAAGAAACAATTACAATGACATTTATTCTGAGAAAGTTTATTAGTGGCATTACTGTGTAAATGCTCTTTGAATTACCAGGAGAAAATCAAGCAAAGAGTAAAGATAGTCTTAACATTTTGATTGACTGTATATAAAGAATGCAAACATTTGAATAATTTAGGTTTCTATATTTGATCAGAAAGAAGGTAAACTTCATTTGATTGGAAAACAGAGATGCTTTCTCGTTCTCAAAGTGGCTAAACCGTGCATGCTTGAACTGTTGCTACTTGCATTTCAGAAAGCACAATCATTTGGGACAGCATTTGGAGATGTAATAGTATTGGTCATTTAATTGTCAGTTGGATCCTTGCCCAGAACTTTAATCATTGCATTATGACGGTGCTTGAGGAAGTACATTGAAAATATTCCAATCTATTAATGTATAGCCATGTTAACAATGATTATGGTTATCAGGTGGCAAAGTTAGGTCTCACTTTGCCAGCTATATGAATTAGATTGTCATTTTTTTGGATATGAAGGATATTAAACATGCCAAATTCTTAGTCTGAGATTAGATGCTTAAATTTTACTGCCTCTTTGAAATTACTTACTGTTCAGAGGAGTTGAACCTTATGCTACAAGGTCAAGGAAATACAATTACGACTCTAGAGGAGGTAGTATTTCAATTTGATTTAGGATTTACTATTTTCAGTGAATATCCAGAGACATGCAGATCAGTACGTTTCAAAGGATTATGAATGTTTCATGATTCATGTGGAGAACTGACAGATTTCTTTAAAAAGGTGTTATTTGCAATGGATTGCTAAATTTCATTGTTACTGCAAAGGACGCACTGCTAGGCTCTTGTCTGGGTACTGAGACTCAAGCATGGTTTGCCCTTGAGAAACTCTCACTGTCCAAGGTTCTCCATCTGTAACCTTTTCCATCTTGAACCTCTGCATGGCACTTACTCATCATTCAAGATTCAAATGTACCTGCCTCTGGAACACTTTTCTGATCATTCCCTTTCTGTGTGACCACCACTTCATCTTATGTAGACATCTTCTTATGGCACATACAAAATGATGGTTTACCTTTCATTTTCAGACCTGTCTCCTCCACTCTAAATTCCATGAGGGAAAAAGACCATGTCCTATTTATTTATATATTCCCTGTGCCAAGTCCAGTGTCTGTCTCAATAAGTGTTTGTTACAGTAATGGAATGTTTAATTGGGGTATAAGCCCCGTATATAAAAGATAACAGCAGAAGGGAATATATAGTAAGGGCAAGGTTAGTTGTATAGGCAGTAAATAATATAGGAGTTCAGCAGGATTGTTGGCAAGGGGAAAGTCTCAGGGGAAAATTTCCAGAAAGGGTAAGAAATAATACAGCTGGGAGATAAAGGAGGGCTGTGATGTAGACAAGAAGTAAAGTGGGCGAGGGCATTTCAGACAAGAAAGAAAAGTACAGAGGGACAAATGAGCTTGTGATAAAGATGGGTTAGATGACCAATTTTTACGTAATTAAATATTTTTGCAATGGTGTTAGTAAAATGAAGATAATGTTGATAAAAATATTTATCCTTAATGAGAGATGATGTTGGAAGAAAAGAAAGATTTTTTTAAATATATACAGTTTGAATTGAAGTTAGCAATATTACTTTAGGTATAGATTTTGGAGTGATTTATGTATACATAACTGAAGTCTTAAGATTGGATAAGTATCCAATGCAGAGAATATGGAAGCTGTTTCAGTTATATGGGTTCCAAATTGCTTATTGATAAACATAGTGTTGAACTTATATTTACGAATTTCTCCCTAATATGCAAGACCAATTACAGACAAAAGAAGGGTTTAGGATCCCTGATCCTAACCTGATGGCACATATGTTATTGTGTTGTGTATGAGGATGGGATTAATATATTACATCAATGGAATTTATTATACCCAGAGCCTCATCATCATTATAAATGGATTACATCCAGAGCCAAATCATTAAATGATTTAGATGATGAGATTTGGGAATGTATACAGTTGAGCTAATGAGATTTAGATGAGATTTTTGGATTCTGAGTTGATGCCATAATGCGGATGAGACCTTTGGGGACCTTGGAGGGGGGAATATATTTTTCATATGTGAAGGATGTGACTCATCGGGCCATAAGGGTGGACGATGATAGGTAGGATTATGGCTTCCATAACCATCGCCATTTGATGTCGTGCTTCTTGGTTATGTTATTTTATATGGCAAAAAGACTTTATTGATATTATTAAGGTTAGTAATTAGCTGACCTGAAGATAGGAAGATAATTATGGATTATCTGAGTGGGCCCAATGTGATAACATGAGCCCTTAAAAGCAGAAGTGGAAGGGAGAACAGGAAGTCAGAGAGAAGTGGCAGAAGAGGAAGTCAGATAAACTTGAAGTGTGAGAAGTACTTGATGTGCCATTGCTGGCCTTGATGATGGAGGGAATCATAAGCCAAGGAATGCGGGAGGCCTCTAGAAATTGGGAATGAACCCTAGCCAACAACCAGCAAGGAAATAAAGAACTTCATCACTACAACTGCAGGGAAATAGATTGTGCCAACAACCTGAGTGAACTTGGAAGCGAATCTTTTCCAAAGCCTCCAGATAAGCACCCTGCAAGCTGACACCGTGATTTTGGTCTTATAAGACCCTAAGCAGAGGGCTCAGGAGAGGCCAGTCCAGACTTTTGGGCTAGAGAACTATAAGAAAATAAATGGATGTTTTAAGCTACCAAGTTTGCAGGAATAGAAAACTAATACATAAAATTAAAAAAAAATAAAAATAAAAAAAATATAAAAATGTACAATAAATTTTCAAAAAAAAAAAAGAAAACTAATACAGTTAACATTGGTGTCCAGTCAGATTGTAAATAAGTTAATGGTGTAGACATACACAGTGAGTGTTTGGATCTCACTATCTCACAGCTTCTTCTTGTGGAAGAAGAGGATGGGCAATTTAGGAACTACAGCAGTAAGCCGAGGATACTTCCACTATTGGGGTCTTGGGATACTTTGAGTAATGGCATTTCTTGAGAATGGCCTTTCATGGTTTACCTCATACCAATCAACAGACACAACTTCCTTAAGGAACAAGAGCCCTAAACTTTCTTAGTGGCCCTTTCCCAATTCTCTATGCCCTCTTTTCTTGATATACGTAATTGGGATCCATTTTCCTTGGTCCTTCTCAAAGACATGTCAGTTCTTTTATTATTATTATTATTATTATTATTATTATTATTTTTTGTGAGGAAAATCAGCCCTGAGCTAACATCTATTGCCAATCCTCCTCCTTTTTGTTTCCCATTTTTCTCCCCAAAGCCCTAGCAGACAGTTGTATGTCGTAGTTGCACATCCTGCTAGCTGCTGTATGTGGGATGCTGCCTCAGCATGGCGGGACAAGTGGTGTCAGTGCGCGCCAGGGATCCGAACCCAGGCCACCAATAGCAGAGCGTGCACACTCAACCGCTAAGCCACAGGGCCGGCCCCATGTCAGTTCTTATACATACACATAGACATAGTCAGCCATTCAACCCTTTCCTTGTAATAGCCAATGAGAAATGATTAAGTACATTATTTGCAGGCTATCCCTTGCTTTCTTACAGCCTGGCTTCTGCAGGGTTAATGGCAAAACTCTTAATACTAGCAGACATCTCTCTTAGCTTCAGCCAACCTTTGTTTCCGAGTCTGGTTTGTGCTTGGAATAGGATAGATATAAAAATGGGATAAGGATCCAGTTGCCAAGGCAGGCTCAATCTGAGAGTCAGTGGTATAATGTACTATTATATTATCAGCAGAGAGATAACAGGATTTACCCCACATATTTTTTACCCTCAAGGCCAAAGCATATGTGTGCCTCCCCTACATCTTTATATCTTTCTGATGCCTCTCTGAATGCTGGTGTCTTGATAGATCTCTATTTTTTAGTTTTACTTGTTTAATTGAATTTTATCTGTTAAACTATATCTGAGGTGACTGTCTTCATCAACCGTATGAGTGAAATCACCAAAAACTCAGTTTGTTTCTTAATTTTATTCTAGTCCTTTTGAATCTTATGGAACATTTTCTATCTCTTGAGAGAAAAAACAATTTATTTCTTTAAAGGAAAAAAAAGCTTTTTCAGTTTTTCAAGGCTCAGAGGAAAACCTCATAAAGATGTAAATATTTTCCAAACCATAAATTATTAAAAAAAAAGTAAATGTTACTAGTTGGTATATGATTCACTTAATAGCTGTGGACATTGGTGCCTTGAAAAAGTTCTGTGCCAGAACTGTGGTTACCATCTTCCATTTCTCATCATAACTTGCCCGATAGCCAGATCATCTGATTGTTTTTTGTTTGTTTAAATTAGGGCCTATGTACCCATGATAAATTGCACAGCAACAAAAATCCTAATTTTGCCTCTGGTTCTATAAAGCAAGAAAGAGTTAATGCAACTTAAAATGGTACCCAGCCAAATCTGAGTCAAAAAAGGTAAAAAACAGCATGTCATTCAGCAGCCAAATTTGTCCTTAAGAAGGCCCAGACTGTAAAAATGATCAACCCTGGGGCCGAGAATGGCGATCAGGGAGGTAGAACACTTAGCACGGTTTTAACCTTCTTTTTGTTTATTACGTCCTATAAATTAACCTTTTACCTTTTGTTTAATTTTGTTTCTAGCGTTAGAGTACTTAATTTGGTAGAACAGAGGGAATGGTCAAGGAGAGGTTTGATATACAGAAACTGTAAATACAGTATATAGAAACTCTTGAGTCAATTTACAAAAATACTACCTTTTTTTAAGTTTGCAAACCTTTACCCAGTTTCCAATAGTAATGAAAATAATAATCGTTTGTCTGGGATTATTTCCTGAGATCTTGTAGCTTTTATTCTGCCCAGTCTTAGTGAGTGAACTCTTTGCTACTTTTCTTCATCTAGACAATTCCTATTGGGATTCGCCATTCCCTAGGGTTAGGACTTGGAGAGTTTCAGCTAGTCAGCAGCTGTCTAATGAGACGTGACTTGGAGAAGGACCTAGCCCTAAGAAAGGATTAATGAGCATATGGGATAAGATAGCAGAGGGCGAAACATTGACAGTGAGTTCCTTTGGAATGTCTTGGAATTTTATTAGAAAGAATGTAAGGAAATAATATTTCATTTAGGGATTTTATAATCCCCTGAATTCATGAGAACATTCTTTGACGCATAATCAAACATTCTTTGATTAAACAGATTCTTGTTTAATCTTTGTGAGGTCCTCAACCTATATAACATACAGGAGCAAACTCAAAATTAAACCATTTTTCAGCCAAAGCTTTTGTTGTCCTATGCCATGAGTCAATTCGGCAGGTCGTCTGCTTATCTATATTTATATATGTCCACTAAATCAAATGATTTTTCAAAGCTTGTCACAAACAAGAGCACAGATGGTTGTTAGGAGTTTTTGCAAAATGTAAAAGCAAATTCTCCATTAATTTTTGCCCAAATTCCCCATATTTAATTACATTTGGAAGCTGCATACATAGTTTATGGTAGACATGCCCCGTGGAGGTCAAAGCAAATAATCACCCCTCCACCACCTCCCTCTTTGTCCCTTCACCCCTGCCCTGTATCCCTGCCAAGCCTCTGTTTTGAATAGAGTTCAGAGTGTCTCAACCTTTAATGTGCATGCAAATCATCTGGAGAGCTTCTTAAACCATGGATTCCTAGACACCACCCCATAGACATTCTAATTCAGTAGGTCTGGGGGAGAGCCTAGTAATTTGCATTTCTAACAAGCTCCCAGTTGATACTAATGCTGCCAGTTTGGGGCTACTCTTTTGTAGCATTGTAAAACTGTACTAACTGGCCTGTAACTAAGGGAAAGATGATAATGAAGCTTTTGAGTCTGTTGGATCTGTGGGGTGGGGAGGAGGGGAGGAAGTAGGGGTGCTAATCTAAGTCACTACCTTTAATGAGGTCTTTATAACCAAACTACCTTTTCCCTTTCACAGAAGCAAATCCAGAGAAATTCAACAGTCGTTTTCGAAATAAAATGTTCTATGCAGGGGTAAGTGTATATTTCATTTTATAATTCTTACACATTATTTAATACTAATTCACTTTTGGTAATAAAGATGCTAACTATATTAAAAATAATTATATACACACATCTCAGATGTTTACATGTATGTCTATATATGGTTAATGTTTAATGTCCTAGTTTAAGAATAAAAGTAAGATATATGCCTTAAGTTAGTTGGCAAGAAGAGAGCCAGTGTTCGTCATCTTTGAATTTTAAAGCTCTAAGGCTCCATGTTGTACTGAGGGGATGATACTGAAGGAATGATATGAAAAACAAACATCAAAGCCATCTAGAGAATGAGGAAATTGGGTAGACTGAAAGATGTGTGGAAAGTCTTGGGGAAGGACATAGTTTTCACAGGGGCATATGTGCTTCAACGTTTGGATGAGAAATTGACGGAGCATGGGAAGTCTTTCATGGAACCATATCTAAGAGTAAAGAGGGCTCCTTCTTTTTCCTTCTCCTCCTCCTCAGGGACCCTGGGAGTGAATGGCCAGAAAGAAAAAAAAAAAGGCCTGCAAAATATTGATGGGAAAAAATGTGGTTTAATTTTATATGACTGGATAGAGGGAGTCAAAATAAAAGAGGATGAAGCAAGACATTCTCAGTGGCAATTTAAAGATTATATCAGCACCTAATGGGCAAGTAGGAAAGGTAGTCGACATAAATCTCCATACGGACTGTTGGAATGGTCTACTTTTTCACTCTCCTGCTGTGATCCTAAATTTTATTATAGGTTATAGTTTGAAAACAGAGAGAAAGCTTGCAGTTTGACAGCCTCTGCGCTACTCTACTTTGGATTCAACAGAAGGAGAACTTGTTTTATATTTTTGCATGGTTTAGAACCACTAGGAGCTATCTATAACATAGAAGCAAGGATTTGGCGTGACCATGTAATTAAGAAATTTTTTCTTTATTTCCTTGTGGTATAGGCAGCTTTTTCTGATTTCCTACAGAGAAGCTCTAGAGATCTTTCCAAACACGTTAAAGTTGTCGTAAGTATTGAATGTGTTGACTCATTTCATTTGAATATTAATAAGTATGCCGCAAGAAATGAGCCCCAAACATCAGTTTATATACTTAGATTAATCGGTGGACTACATAGAACAAGTGAATTAAACATAGTTCATTCAACCAACATTTATGAGCATTTAACTATGTGTTGGGCACTGTCTTAGTTACTGGGGATGAAGGTAAATAAGATGGCTATCTTCACTCCTGAAGAAACTCACAGTTCAGTTGTGGAAAAAGGGCACATAACTCATTGTAGAACAATATAACAAGTGTTGTTATTTGACTACGTACATAATGCAGTGGTGGCACAGAGAGAGAAATGAAAACTGGCCATAGTGGGGTTAGGGAAACCATCCAAGAAAGGCTGTTGAGCTGGGTCTTGAAGTAGAAATAGATGCTCACCAAACAAATATCTTTATTCCCGGACCATCTGAGGAGTCCCCATTTTAGAAAAATGCTTTGATTTCATTGTTTTGTGGTGACTCACTCTCCAGCCTGGTCAAGGTTCTTCACCACTGAATGGGTGTTTTTTTTTTTTTTTAGTGTTATTTCTTCCTGGGTCTCTATCCCCAGTTTTGGACACACTACTCAGAGGAAAGGGAGAGAGGAAGTTATCCTAAGAGATATATTTTAAAATAGCATAGAAATAGTTATCGAGAAAGAAATAAAATGTTTTCTTATGGTAACCAAGTCAAAAGAAGGAATGAACATGACGTAGTTGCGCATACTTGTATAAGTAAAGGAAAAAATGTAAGACAGAAGAGAAAAATATGTAGATGGGAGAGAATAGGAATATAGCAATACTTGAATTTCTCATGGCATAGATAAAGAATAAAATATGTGACAAGAGGGGACAGAACAAAAGATATCTATGAGAATAGAGAAAAGTATATGATCTTGAATTAATGGATATGTAGAGGAATATGGAGGAGCATGAGAGGGTACAAATTAAAATTTGTGATCACCAATAACGCATATACAAGACATGAGTCTCCTAAATCAGCTGAAACAAGAGACAGAGGCCTTTACCGCTAGTGCTGACAACTCTTGGCATCACTTTCAGATCAGTTCTCATACAACGGCAATGAAAAGCAAGCATCTTTTAGTAGTAGAGACTCTTAGTAATGGAAATATTGCCTTCTTAGAGCTAGATGCGAGAAAGACACTTGGTCCATTGAACTATGAAGATCTTTACTGTGATAAAATTATGGTTAGTAGATTTAAGTAGCAGCAGCCTTACATCAGACTTCCCCTGTTTCTTTGCTCCTTGCAGCCTAGCCCAAAATAAACTTTTTCTCTCCTTCCACTATTTTTCACATTTAGAGGAACATCAGCAGCACCTCTCCAGAAAGCCAGTGAGTGGTAGGCAGTGGCCATATTGAATGGCATCCACTGTTTGAGTCAGCTGGACTGAAATTAAACTCTGTATACTTCCTAAGCACTGAAGAATTTCTGTTGCACATCTGGCAGTCCTCTTGATGATAAATGTCTCATACATGATTGGCTATATAGTGGGGTTAAAAGAAGCTTGTGGAGAGGCCAAAATGACAGCCAAATAACTAGGAAAGATTTGATATCAGCCAATACATGTAATATTCCAAGTAAATTGGCTTATGTAATATCTTTTTGATGAGGAGAAAAAAACATTAGAAACTAAGTCTAAACATTTGGGATTCAGTCGTAGGTCTACTTTTATGAGGTATATGACTTTCGGGAAATCATTTAACCTTTCAGAAGAGTTTATTTTCCTCATTTAAAACAGGCGTAACAAGACGTGTTGCAAGCAACAAGTTATTGACCATTGTGCTATGACACAGGGGGACACAAGGATATTTCCCCAATGACATCACTGTATGTTTTCTTGAGTGTGGGATGGAAAGGATGGAAGATTAGGGAGAACAATGAGATGTATATTTAACAATAGATCATCTTATCTTTGCCACAGTGTGAAATCAGTGTTCCTGAGGTAATAGTTAATAATCTCTCACATAAATATAAAATCTTTATATGAATACTACCAGGACAATAACAAATGTACATACAGCATTATTTGCTCTGTTTCCCATGTTTTCTTCTTGTTGTTGTATTGACTTATCAGTATGCGAGCTTGTACACAGGAACATTTTTACATGCGAATATTTTCTTTGGCATGTGTTTGAAATAGGGAAAAAGTTGAAAACTGCTGTTGTAAGAGTTATAAAATTTAAATGCAATAATATGTAAGAAAACTTTGTAAAGCACAACACATCGTGAGGTGCCCATCTGTATATAATTTGACGAGTTCTCAGAATCACTGACATGTTTCCCAGGAGAAAAAAGTAGAAAATTAAAAAATGAATTATTCTAAATACCATAATTTCAATAATACTTCTTTCTATAGTGCAGCAGTACTACTTTGCATGCTATGAATGTATCACGTCCTATTTTTGAAAAGTTTTAGTTGCTTACAACAATAGATTTTGATAATTTAAGATGTCTACATTTTTTTCTTCATTGGTATACTCATCTATGAACTCATTTTGAGTCCTTAAATAAATTGGGAGATTTCATGTTTGCTTAGTATCTGAGAGTATTGTAAAAACACCTTCAATCAATGTCTAGAATTTGATTCCTATCTAAATAACATTGAAAGGACTTTGTTTATTTAGGGCTATAAGATTTCCTGGAAGCAATTTTTGAGAATGCTCATGAAAATTAGGCTACATCAAGATCAGCTGGGGAAAGAATGAGACCACCTTGACTGCTAGCAGAATCATTGTACTTAGATTGAAACTCCTCCTAAAGAAATCTTTAAAAAATTTGCTGGGAGCTTGGGAATACTTCACTCCTCTCTCCAAAGGAGAAGATAATGGGAAATTCTGTGACGAGGGTATCAGGAGAGCAAATATAAAAGCAGGCGTTGACATTGAAAAGTCTATAGTTGTGACTAGAGTGTTCCTCTTTTGACTTTTGTCACCAGTGGGAAACGAGAAAGGGAAATGAAAGCCTTTTCTGTGATTAGTCAGAGGATACTCTGGAGGAAAGCACTAACTGATGAGGAAAGCCACACACAAGGGGACCAAGGCCCAGCCGGCCTGAGGCCCTTGAGACCCAGGGTTAAGTTCAAAGTCCGGTAAAGCAATTTACCTCAGAAGACCGAAGTCTATAAGAGATTAAATTTATAGAAGCAAATCACTAATGGAGATAATACTAATTTATAATAGATACTTTTTAAAAAGCTTGCAGTGTATATCCCTTTCAAATAGTTTTCAAAATGTGTTTAACCTTTTCAAAATAAAAATGATCTCAAAAAGCAAATAACATCAGTGGTTGTATTCATGACTGTTGTGTGAATCAGATGATTGTGATGGAAATTGCTACTGCCTTAGCTTGAGGCTTCATTTTTTAAATTCTTTTAAAGCATTCATAAATCTCGTAATGTTGGTACTACAAGCCTGAATATCTGATAATAATCCAAGGTTAAGAAAGATAGTAGTTCCTTTGATTGTGAGACCAGAGAAAAATCATTTTGGTCAAATGGCAGCTTTGTTTTTACATTAAATCAAAACAAAACCGAGCTCTGAACCCTGGGTCTGGTAATAAATTTTCAATCATAGTAACGAGCATTCACTTAAGCAGAGATAGAAACAGGGGCAAGATCATGATATATGCTGTTGTCAACCTAGTTATCTTTGATAATTTTTTTAGACTTGTGACTACTTCCAAACCCTTGTTTTTTCTGCTTTGATTGTTGCAGTGTGATGGAACAGATCTCACCCCAAAGATTCAGGAACTGAAGTTCCAGTGTATAGTATTTTTAAATATACCCAGGTAAGCTCTATTCATATTGTCCTTTGTTTGATGTGAACTCTGTTTGACTTGGGGTGATCTGTTTTCATTATAGAAAATTTCCAGGTATAAACAATGAAAATGAGTTACCTTAATGGCTTATTGAGGGTTTCAGAACTGATAATTTTGTTCTCCTACTTGGGTTGTTTAGTATTCTCTGTGGTAGGTGGTTTTTTGTGTGATATGGCATGCGTGGTCTGTATTCACCCGTCCTTGAGAAACCCAGGCATCCCTCTGAACGAGAACATTTCAATTTAATTCTCAATTACTGATCCCCCATCCCCCAAGAAAGATAGACTTGAATAAATCCCTGTTCTCAGTTTCCCAAAAGCTGTTAGGAAACCATCCAGCCTGATTTTAGTATGGAATTCATTCACAATCGTTGCCAGATGATTGCTCTGAAACAGTTAGGCTAGCATTTTCTAGCCAGGATGTCAACTCTCTTTGGTGCTATTATATACCTCAGGAGAAAGAAGTATTTAAGATTAACTAGTCTCAAAATAAGCACATTATCTCAGTGGCATACAGTTAGATTCTAGGCTCCCAAGCCAAGATTTTAGAGGGGATGGATCTATGACCCTTTGTTATGTGCAAACCAGACAACTCAGACACAAAATCTGCAAATATGTTCTATTTAGACTAAATTTAATTGAAATGAGAATTATACGTAACTCTATGGCTAGGAAAACGTACTATAGTCTCCTGATTACTTTTGGCAGTGCTCAGTATAGTCATTTACAATCTATTCCAGAAGCATTTTCATCTTAGTTTAAGTGGAAGGCCTAGATTCTCAGGATACGTTGTTTATTAGCTTTCTTGAATTTTTTTTCTCTTTTGCTTATTCTTCTCTTTTTCTTCTTGTTTCTCTCCCTTCCCCTCTTTGGATTTCACTTCCTCTACTTTTTCAATTTCCTTCATTTCCCCTTCCCTTTCTAGTCTCATATCTTCTTCTCAACCCTTCTTCACTCTTTCATCTTCGGTTACTTTTCTGTTGTCCTGTGTGTGCTTATTATCATAGTTATGTGTATAGTACTGAATGCTTACCCACCTCAGTTCCCTTTCCTTTTTCTACTGGCATGCACGTGTCTTTCTCCAAGACCAAATTCTGAAACCACCTGTTGATAACTCATGATATATCATAGAAAGCTGACATATGAATCATTGAGTGAGAAATGTTGCTAAATAATGACTTAGGAGAGAGTTGGGCACTAAGGATGGCTTTTGTTGTAAAAGTGTGGCCCATTTTCACAGATTCATATTTTGGAGATGATGAGTCCATGTTCTTTTCTATTGCGAGATGTGCATCAAGAACAGAAAACTGTTCTTATGTGAGATAAACACTGGATCTAACTACAAGTCAGTCCCTAATGATGATGATCATGAGGGGAATGGAATAAATTTAATTCTGTTTTTAATCTTATCTTGCAGATATTGTGCTGGCACAATGCCCTGGGGGAACCCAGGAGATCACCATGACTTTGAACCTCAGCGTCATGATGATGGTTATATTGAAGTCATTGGATTCACCATGGCCTCTTTGGTGAGCAGTACAGCTCTTTTATTGAAATGAAATGTATATTAATTAGTTTAATCATTTCACAGGTCTTTGGTATAGTTTTCTCTCCTGCTCTATCAGTTTATAGAATTTATGCAATATAGAGTTGCTTAGGGAAAACAAGAACAAAAAGTAATTAGGTCACTAAGAAAATTGATGCAAATTTGTTTGAACTTCAAAAATAAATGAATATTATTTATTAATTTTCCTGATAAATTTTCTACCAGAATAAAATGTAAAATTTTCATGCTAATTAAAAAGCATTATGCCACCGACACATCCCAGCATCGATGAGGAAACTTTGCCGTTTGATACTTTTTTGGTTCACTGAGGACTTGAGTGTTTAGATAAAAAGGAAAGTGGTCTTTTGCATTCATCTTCATCTTGCCGGCTTAAGCATAAGATGAGCATCTCCATTATCACAAGATTCCTGAATATAGAAAGACATCATTATTATGACATTAATGAATATTCAGTTGCCACAGTATTAAGATTACCTTGCATTTTAATTTTGTTTGCTTGCATTAAAAAAAGTAAATTTATAGTGTAAGTGTAATTTCAAGCAGGTCTTAGCCATGTATTTCAACATATTGTTGAATGATGAGGAAGCCAATTAAACCAATTAACCAGTTCTTATCATTTTATCTGGTGTAAATCAAGCCACATTATCAGTTTATGAAGCAAATTAAAATAAAGCTTCTACGTGCAACTCTTGGCTTGTGCTATACCTTATGCTTGAAAGCAAGAAGGTTGTATTTCTTGTTCTAGACAAACTAAAATAGCTCTTTTTCACTTGTCAAGTGGATTCCAAATGACTTTTCCTCAATCATCTCGAATTAGTGAGATTTAACCGAATAACATATTATCAGGGATGTCCATTACCTGAGATGGTGATGTTGCTTGTTAAATCTGCCGTCTCTAGAATGAAATCATTGTTAAGTGTAAAAGATTGGGCTGGAATTGATTTAATTTTCAGGGTTGTAGCTCATACACAGTTCTTTCTCTCCAAAGCTCTTTATGCTAATTACAGGCGAAGACTCAGCCAGGAGCAAATAGGAATAAGTGCAAGAGATGGCAGGCTGAAACTGGGTAGTTAGAGGAGAGCTTAGTGGAGGCAGTCTACAAATAGTGAACTAGATTTATGAGAAGGGACAATGGATGATGGTATATTCCTGAGCTGAAGGTGCAAAGGCAAGGAAGCAGTTGACTGTACCAGAAAGAGAACTATTTGGGAAGGACTACCTGATAGGAGTAGTGTTTACTAAGCAGAAGCAGCCAGCCTGTGTCAACCTGGCGGGGAGGGAGCCGGGGACATAAATACAGTGACCTCACTCTTCTTGCCCTCCAGATCTTCTGCTGGCACCTCCCTCTGGAGAAGTCTAACTGGAAGCCAGCGGACAAGGGAGCCACTGATACAGTCTAAATGAGTCAGCCTCACAGAGCAAAACAGAGGGCAGGGAAGGGTAGAGTGCCAGCCAAGAGTGGCAAGTGGCAGATATCCATCACTCCAGTGTATCTCTAGTACACAGCAGAGAGCCTGATACCTGTAGTTGGCAATGAGTAAATGTGACAGAATGAATGAATTTTTCCGGGAGGAGAAGAATGGGACTTGGCATTCTGAAAAAAGGGAAATTTACATAGACTTGAAAGTATGAGAGTTCATAGTCCTCTCTGGGAACTGTAATTAGCTTTATGTAGTTTAAATGTTTAAGTGAAAGTGAGAGTGGTAGATGATGCTGGAGGTAGAGAGGGGCCAGATCATGGAGAGCATTGTAGAATTTATCTAGGAGTTTTGACTTTATTCCAAGGTCACTGGGAAATTAGTCAAGTGTGTTTTTTTAAATAAATATTTATTATGGGAAAAGTTCAATATAAAAATAGATGAAACAATATGTTAAACCTTCATGTACCATCACTCAGCTTCTATAATTATCATCTCATGGACAATCTTATATCTGTCCCCACCTATGACCTCCTCCCTTATATTTTGAAGCAAATCCCAGAGATTATATCAGTTTACCTATAAATATTTCTAAATGTGTTCTTAAAAGACTTTGTTTTATGAACACAACCATATTATTTTAAAAAATTGAAGCAATAACATCTGAATATCACTAAATATTTACTCAGTGCTTAAATTTCCAATCGTCTCCCAAATGTCAACTGTTTCTTATGCTCTGTTTAATCAGGATCCAAATAAAATTCTTTTGTTGTGGTTGATTATTTGACTCTTAAGTATCTATCTGTTTCCCTTCATCTCTTTATTTTTTCATTGAGTTTTTGAAGAAACCAGACTATTTGTTCTGTAAAGTCTCCTTGAGCCTGAATTGTGCTGATAATATCTCTGAGGCGTCAATTAACATGTTCTTCTGTCTTCTCTATTTCCTCTAAGTTGATAGTTGGATGTCGATGCATCAGAAACATTTTTTTCCCCAAATTTACTTTGTAGGTACTATTTTTTCCTTCCAAAAGAGGACAAGTAATGTCTAGTTGTCTCTCTTTTTTTGTTAATAGTCTTTGATCAGTGTGTGGATCCAGCAATCTATCCTTTGTTTATTACCTGGAATATTTCTATAAAGAGAAATTTCTGTTCACGTACTATTTGTTACTTAGTTATACAGTTTGTATAGGAAAAGCAGGGTAAGTGATTCTTTTTCTTTATATATTTTCAAAATAATAAGTTAGGTCACTAACATCCAGATGGTGACTGTGGTTTTAAAATGGCGTCGAATTTTTGAACACTTATCTCATTAAGAGTTTGAGTCTATGTTCCCTCATCTTGAATCTGGGTGGGCTTACAAATACTTGGCAAATCGGGTACAGTGGAAGTGATGCTAGGCAACTTTTGAGGTTGGATCATTAAAGGCCATGCAGCATGTGGGAAATATGGGCAATATTGATGGTCTCTAATGAATAGGAATTTTGTAAATTCAAGGTAATACTTGTTATTTAAAATGTCTCACTGCTTTCATTCATTTAATTTTAGTTATAAATATTTTTAGAATATTTATAAATACTATAGTTATAAATACTTTGGAATCCATAAGTGACAGTCTGCTAAGTAAAATGGTTATGAAATGGACCGAAAGACAAGCCCTGTCCTCAGGGTGCCCACAGTTCAGTGCTGTGGGGGGACACGACGATGTAAACAAGCAGTAGTGGTCTGATGTAGTAAATTCTGGGAGAAAGACGTGTGAGGATGGAAAGGAGAACTGAAAGCAGAACAGTGTTTATGAAATGAGGATATCAGCAAAGATTCCACAGAGGAGGCAGGAGTCTCTATGCATGAGATCTCGAGTGGCCATCCCATAGAGGGATCAGCCTAAGAAAGCGTGGTGTACTAGAACCAGTACTGTGGCTCAGAGAATGACACACGTGGGCCATAAATACATCGATATGGAGAAAGAGAGGGCGGAAATAGGTTTTTTTAAACTGTTCATGGGGAGGTTGAGGGAGATGGCATAAGACAGGATCAGATTTGTGGTTTACAAAGAGTACCTCGATGTCTGTGTGGAAGGCGACCAGAACCTCTACTGCTGGAGGCAGATGGACAAATCAGGACATTGGTATCAAAGCCCAAGTGAAGACACGAGACCTGGAAGCCTGAAGAAAGAAAGTGGCGATGGAGATGGAAGGGATTGGTGAATTCAAGAGTTATTTTTAGTAACTTTTTGTGGAGGATGAAAAAGGAGTATAAATGAATCCCAGGTGGCTATCATAGGCCATTAAGTAAAGGTGAATATATTAAATGAGGCAGAAAATGCAAAAGAAGAACAATATTGCCAAAAAATGAACTCTATTTTATGTAAGTTCAATTTGAAACCCCTGTGAAACATCTAAGGAGATCTAAAAATGAGCAATTTGAAATATATGTCTAGAGCTCAGGGATCCCTCTTGTTTGGGAGAGAGTGTTTTGGTGGGAGTCTATCAAATCCTTCTCTCTCCATTCTATGATTACCGGGAAAGAGAGAAAAATAAGAGTAGATGAGCGCTGGTGAAAAGAAAATGGACTCCTAAAACTATATCAATTATTTTTCTCTCTTTACGTGGTATAAATAATATAATACGTGCATACTAGCTAGCACCAAGTGTATGACTGAACCTCAGATTCTAGTGACTCTAGATTGCTTGCAAGACAATAAAAATTCTACCTAGAAAAGAGTTAAATGTGGTTTATACTGTGCAGTTTTGAACATCCTATGCTCTCTAAATAATATTGGCATATATTTCCATATTTCATACACATCTTACCTTACTATTCATATAGCAGTACACCAGTGTATTTTTTTTGATTCAAGATGAAATAGTTTTATTTTCAGTTCTTCAATTTCACATTTCTTGAAACTATTATATTAATTATGGTTCTAAGAAGGTAAGTTATTTGAAAACTCTTACATCTGTGTAAGATGATTATATAAACAGAAGAATGTAGTCATTTGGGTATATGTGAGTATATTTTTGTGTATTTAAAATATTCAGAGTGGTACTTTCAGAAAGATTTGAGATAGAATTACTGGAATGGGAAAAACAGATTGTTTCTTTTAGACTCTTTATCTTGTAATTGCAAATTTCAAAGCAGAAGTCTTCAATTCATTTTACGTTGAAACGCATTCCTGCTGATTAAGATGATTCTTCATTGGGTGCTTGGTAACCTGATTACCTTTTTGGATTCTACACAGACCATAATCAGATGTTGTAATTTGTATTTATTTCTGCCATTATATTTGTGAGGGTCCTTTCATGTTGAGTTTATTTCTAAGTACCAATCTAAAACTTTTCAAGGCAGTTCAAAGCATTATTCAGATTGAGGAGTTGGGAGCCTAATCTGCTATGTGGTATGAAATCCAAAGATTTCAGTCTCCTAAACTTTAAAGAAAGCACAGCCAGTGTTCTTTTTGTTAATTGAAATTAAAATATGTAGGCTCTTTTATATGTATGAATTAGAAAAGCAAAAGGTTATTCAGTGAGAAAAATTACGTGGAGAA